TTGACAGAATCTTAACAGTTCAGTGTAAACCTTGTTATTCTTCCAGTGTCTCTGCTACCTCAGTTTCTCTATAATTACTTCCTCCTCATCTCTAGTACTATTTTCAGAGATCAGATTGCCATCTAATCAAGAATTTTCTTATAGTCCCTTCATTTTTATTTCAGTAGTATCCCATGGTTGTCCTTTTCTCCACTGAAACCACTCCTCCACTCTTTCCCCTCCTCTAATAATTTAAGTGTATTTTCTATTTCCACAGCACAGCATGTCCTTTTCTCTTTGACAGTGCCCCTCCCTGACACTGAATTAAGAATAGCCAATACACGATAATTTCATAGTATATTCTGATGTCTCTTTCAATCCTCTCCTATCTTCTTTTGGAATCTCTTAATTTTTTAAGCATGTTGAGATATCCTCTTCTCTGTTCCACCCCCCAAAATTGGTCACATAATGTTTTCCACATTTCCTAGTATCCCATGCTTTTTCTCTAGCACAGCACTGATGGAACTGCTAGTTTACATATTTCTCTCTCCCACACAATCTAGAACATTCGTTGTAATGGGGCCTGCATATTACAGAGTATTCCCAGGGCCTATACTTGTTCCTCACATAACAGGTGGTCAATAAATGAACAAGGTGTGCTAGTTATTATGCTTTTATTTTTCTCTATATTCTGCAGTAACTAAGCAAAATCAGGGAAAATGTCAGTTTTCTTTACAAGACAACAGACACAAATCGTTTCAGAATGGTCAGATATGAACAATTCCCTCACCTCCTCCCATTTTACTGGTTATTTCAAACTTTCAAAGAATAGCCCATTTCAATGATATAAATTCTGTACCACATCACAAAATATGATGGAACGACTTCATTTCATTAACGTTAGCAAGACTGTTATACTAAATCTCATCGACAGGAAAAAAAAAAAGAAAAAAACTGTTCAATTATATATTTAAACATATTGTGATCCTTAATTAACAGTATTATAAAATGAATACAAGTTTACAATATCCAAAGCAAACACTCTATTTCGCAGTTAAACAATTAGCACTGATCACAAATACCAAATACAGTGCCCTCCCCCATTCACGTCATTTCAACTCCGGACCCAGGTCACTTACTCCTGGGGTATCTTGAACTCTCTTTTCCATTCCGTAGGGTCTACCTCAGATTTTCCTAGGGGGCAGAGTAACCTCTAGCACCTGAATTAAGTATAGCCTCAACCTCTGCATCGTCGTCCGAATCCCAATCATAATTACATGGCCAGTCCTTGGAGCATCGGTTACGAACCCTTGCCACAAAATGCATGACTTTCAGCTTGCTGGACTCCACGTGTGCTCGAGGGCCCCAGAAGAACTCGTACTCCACTGGACTGCTGCGGGGTACTGGCTTATAAATCAGGTACCCTCTGCGCACAAACTCTTCTGTAACGACCTTCTTCGGATCTCCAAAGATGCTGTGCTGCCGCCCAGGCTGCATTCCTAACTTCCCCAGCACTTTCCACACCAGAGCCTCTTTTGCGCTGTTGCCCATGATGAAGATGAGGGCTAATATGGACATCAGGAGACTTTTCTTAGTGCCCTGAAAATTGCTCCGGGCTACCGAAGGCTTTTGCGCTAGGGCACTGCTAGAGGCTTCCTCGGGAGTGGTGGAGGCTTCCTCTGGAGTGCTTGGATCTTCCTCCGGGCCGCTGAGGTCGTCTTCTGGGGTGCTTGGGACCACAGAAGCAGCCATTGGGGTCTCAGAGGCCTCTGAGGCCTGGATCTTGCGATTGTTGCGGTTCTCTTCTGCGGCCCTTGCATTACGGCGGCGCCGACTCTTCCTTCCCCGAGGCATGTCTCTTGCAAGGCGCTGAAAGCCTACACAGTCTTAGGGAAGGATGCCTGTAGCCTCTGTAGAAAGCAATTATCTCTATCCTAAGATGCAGCCGCGGCGGAAGCTACCAACGTCAATAGAGTCTTTGTAACAACAAACCAGACGTTTTCAGCCACAAAGCTCGTTCCCACGCAAGCTGACTTGCACTAGCAGTCGCTGCCGGTACTTGCCGCAGTTGCAAGCGCGCGAGAAAGCTCAGCAGAATTGACTCCACCCCCCCCCCTGCCACGCACTCGCCGAACACCAAAGAGGAAGTGGGCCGGTCCTCCACAGGGACTTCCGCTAGCAGATAGGAAAAGGAGCGTGGTACAGCAGGGGTGGGACAAGGGTAGAAATGACGGCTAGGGATTGGTGGGGGTTGGGGTATGTACGGAGGAAAAGAATACCCAAACGGTTCTGAATTCTTCAGTCCACTACAGACATTCCAAGATTGATTCGCTGGTTTGGGGAAAGAGTGGGTCTTTATCCCATTCGCACCGCACCAAAGGCTAGCTGGCGAGGAGGGAAGTCTGGGGGGAAGGAGTTGTATTCTTGGAAGGAATCATTTGACCCTAGCCCTCTTTTTTTTTTTTTTTTTCCCTCTTGGCGTATGCAGCGCATTCACTCATTCTCCCTGTTTTCAGAAAGCATTTATACTATACGTATCTAATTAATTCTTAGGCTCATCTAGGACCTGGATAATAATGTTAT